GGGGGGGGCTCTCTTCAGCTGACCCCTCCCTTAAATATTTGGTTGCTCCTTTGAGAGTGGTCTGTTCAGTGACCTGGGACAGAGTCCCCAAACCAGCCTTTCTCCGACGTGAAGTCTGAAGGGTCACACTCCCCATCCGCGGTGCCCAGAGGACTCACCCCGCCCCACCCACCATGCCCCCTGTAAAGCCAACCCCTCCCCACCCCAGGAACCAGTGGAGAGGAGGAGCAGGGCCAAGGGAGGGTGCCGGGCTGGGAGCTTCAGACGGGCCCCTCCTCAGGAAGGAAGCACCCTCCCCTCTTAATAATAGTAATCACGGCCGTTACACGGGGGCCGATGAAAGGCCAGCCACTTCATCCACATGATGTCACTTAATCTCCTAGCCACCCGCAGGGACTGTCATTGCCCCATGTGCAGATGAAGAAACCAAATCCTGGCACCCAGGTCACTCAGGCTAAAACGGGGTGCTACTTCCCATCGGCAACTCTGCCTCTCGTGTCTTGCACTGGCCGTCACCCTGACTCATCGCTGCCCGGGTCTCCGCCAAAGCGTCCCTGATTGATTCACCACACAGATGCCCAAGAAGGATGTGCTTGGTGCCAGGCTCCTGGCCCAGTGCATGGCTGTGGGTGGTCTCAATGCCACCTTCCCCCCCATCGGGGTCCTATAGGTGGGGGGCCACCTGTACCCAGCCCTTGCACCCAGTTCTCTGGGGACCTCCCTACCTGACACCAAGTGAATAGAATGTGCTGGCCCCACCTTCATGAACCTGAGCACAGTTCTCTTAACAATAACAACTCGCATCGACATCGCTCGGTGATGGAGCTTTGGTGACCAGTGTTTATGAGTCGGGCAGCTAAGTGCAAGTCCTCCATTGCAACCACCAGCGGCTCCACAGGAGGCAGACTGGACTCTTCCACTCCAGTCTCTGAAGCTCACGTGGGCTGGTCGGCCCTGTCTGATGGGGTCGCCCTGCATTGGCACCGCCGGCCGCGACGGCAGAGCGTTTGCTCTGGTCGGGTACCAATGGAGGGAGGAACCTCAGTGCCATAGTGAATGATGTGTGGGGCTGCTAACCGTGAAGTCTGCCATTAGAAACCACCCAGTGCCCCAGGGGGAAGAGACGAGGCTTTCTACTCCCATAGCGGCTTACAGCCTGGAGCTGAGTTGGTTTGGGGAGTTTGGTACCCTCTATGAGGGAGCCCTGGTGCCATGGTGGGAATGAATGAAAGGCAGTGGTTCAAACCCACCAGCCACCCCACAGGAGAAAGATGAGACTGTGAAATCCTATAAAGGCTGACAGCCTCAGAAACCCATGGGCGGGGGCAGGGATTGGGGGGATCCCACCCTGGTCTCCAGGGTGGCTGAGACTAAGAACCCCCTGATGGTAGTGGGGTTTGGGATGAGCTATGGCACCATTGGGCAGCCATGGCATTTGAACTCTACAATGACCATGTGCGGAAGGGCCAGCTGCCCATATTTTACTGATGTGCTCTTAGGAAGGGGGGAGCGGTGTCAGAGAGGTAATGTCACCCCTGCCCCCCTCCCTAGCAAAGCCAGGGCTAGAACCCGGCATTAGCCCATTAGTTAATGCCCTTCCCACTGTTCTGTCCCCAGTCTGCTCCCTTGAGAACATCCTCCACTCTCGCGGGAAGTCAGGGGTATCCCTAGTCCCCCATGTGGCTACTCACTTTCAAACCCATCGGAAGTCTTATTTTCCAAATCGGCTACAACCAGCTGGCACTCACCTCCCAGGAATAAATCCTCCCCAAAGCTGCCCCACCTCATCCCTCCCCTTCTCCCTTCCTCTGAGGTCCTCCAAACAGGCTTCTCAGCTCGGGCAGGGGCAGTGGGGCAGGCAGGGGCAGTGGGGCAGTCAGGGGCCAGTCATAGGGAAGGTTCTTGCAAGGAGCTGCTCTGGGCCCCAGGGCCCGGACACTATGCTCAGCCCCACTCCGCACCTGGAACATCAGCAAGGTTGCGCAAACACGTGAGGCGGGGAGAGAGACACTCACTGGTACACAAGGGTGGGGGAAAGGTTAGGCACAGGAAGCCGTGGGAGAGAGCTGCCAGCGGGCCGTCCTGATTGCCCCAAGCACACCACTGTCCCCCGGGGAGACCTGTGGGTGAAGTCCTAGCCGTCTTGTTCAAGAAGGGTCTTCCTGGGGTCACCTTGACCATCCCCCTGCCTCCGGGCAGCCTGTTTGCTCTGTTTCTTCCAAGAGGACTGGCTGGCGGGTATGAGCCTTTCTGCCAAGGAAACAGAGGCCCGGGGAGGGAGGGTGGCTCCTGGGGGCCCTGAGGGTCCCTTGGGTGGGGAGGGGAGGGAGTAGAAGCCATGTGCTGAGTCCCCGCCACGACGCCTGCCCTCACTCGTGCGCTCGCTCTCTCCCTGGCACTCCTACCTGTCCTTCGCCCATGCTCGGCGGGGTGACGGTGATGTCACAGGTGTGGAGTGTCAGTCACCTACTGGGTGGCAAACCAAACAGGACGAGTGTGTGCATCACCCGCGCCCGGGAAGGAAGGCCACCAGGGAAGAGAGTCTGGTGGACAGACTTGAAAGAGGGAAGGGAGGCACCGAGCCTGATGGGGGCGGGGAAGCCCAGGATAAAACTCCTCTGCACCCAGAACCAGAGGGAGAAGGCCCAGGCTGGCACTGGGGAGGGATGCCCCCCTCACTGTCCTCGACTCTGCTTCTCCCAGAGCTTGTCCATGCCCCAGACATGAGGCAGCCCAGGCCCCGCTACGTGGTAGACAGAGCGGCGTACTCACTCACCCTCTTCGATGACGAGTTTGAGAAAAAGGACCGGCCGTACCCAGTGGGAGAAAAACTTCGCAGTGCCTTCAGGTAATGTGGCCCAGAGCCCAGGATCCTCTTTCCTTTGTCCTATGCCCACTCCCCACCCCACCCCACCCCAGCCAAAACCTTTCCTCCACCAGGCTGCAGCTCCTGCTCCCAAGAGCCTAACACAGGAGTTAGGGAAGCCCTCGGGTTCCATCCTATGAATTGAAGATTGTACAGCCCTGTCTGTACTGACAGACCCCGGGGAAGATGGGGGCTAGAAGCAAGAACCATACACAGCTGCAGGACCTTCCCAACCCCCTGCATGGGGGTCCCACAACCTTCTCCGCCTGCCCCAGTCTGTCTTGGCTTCGAAAGGGAGCTGTGGGTGCGCACGCCACATCATGGAGGTTGGATGCCCTGCACCCTCCCCCTGCCCGGACTCCTGGCAGACCTCCTCAGGCCTCGCTACAGGCTGGCTGGCTCTCCCTCACGGCCCTGGGGAAACAGCTGATTCAGTTACCTGGATTGAGGTCACTGGCAGTGGTTGAAGTAGAGATGCAGGTGGAACTGGTTCAGGCCGGGGGAATCACCCACTTGAGTCTTAAGCTAAAGCCTCAGCCCAACCCCACTTCTCCTGGGAGGAGCCATCTCCACCCGATTACAGGCAGAGTCTTAGGGACCTGGTGTCTGGGCCCTGTACCCAACCTGTGCGTCCTTGGCCAAGTGGTCATTGCTGGTCCTGATGCTCAAAGTGTTTCAGCTGGGCTTCTTTCTGTACTGAGGCGATGGGGCGTTTGCTGGGGTCCCACAATGCTGGAGCGGTGAGGACCAGGAAGGGATGAAGGGGACTAGCACATGCCGCGTTGCTGGCGGGAGAGCCTAGATCAGTGCCCGGCACACTGAAGGTGCTCAGTCAATATTTGCTTAATGAACGGATGAATCTCTAGAAAGCTAATCTCTCTCTCCACTTCCTTCTTTATGGCCTCTGGGGTGTCTGTGCTGGTGTTTGGCTTTGCCCAAAATAGCGCGCAAGTAATGCTAGGCATGCGCTGGCCCCTTCCGCGAGTGGTTTTCTCTTCCTGGTCAGTCCCTTCTTCGTGTGCCCAGTGCTTTGTGCCACAGACAACCCCGAGGGAGCCCTTGAAGAGCTGATTCTCTCCTGGGCGAAAACTCTCAAGATTTGCTGAGCTACTGACCGCCAGGCCAACACCACCGCGGCCCGCCGCCCCCCTTCTGCCATCCCACCGACCCAGGAAGCCAGTGGCGATGGTGATGCTGTTTCAGCATGCAGGCTTGGGACAGAAAATCCGCCCAGGCTTCCCAGAGTACAAAGCATTGTCTATGCCGGTTTCAGCCGTGGGTGAGAGCCGGGGGACCCGGGGTCAGAGGAACTGACATTGAGCAACAGCCATGCGCAGGAACTGGTGCTGGGCAGGACAGGAGGCCGGTCAGAGTGGGCCAGTGAGTCACCAGATGGTCTCTAAGGATTTGCGTTCCCTCAACGGGGAGAGGAAAAGCACACGCCTCTCTGCTTCCAGCCATCCAGCCTTGAACTTGTAAGTCCTGATTCCTGCCGCCCCCGGAGTGTCGGGAAAAGGCCCTGGAGGTGTTACACCAGCAGGGAAGGAGTGACTTCTCCCTGACCTCCACTGACCAGCAAACAGCTCCCCCATTCCTCTCTCTCCTGCCGATGAGCTGACAGTGGAAAGAAATCCAGGATCAATCACACCTGAAGGAGGGTGAGCCAGCGGGGAGTGTGTCCGCCGCAGGGACAAGAGGATCTTGGAGGGAAAGGGGTAGGAAAACTGGCAGCAGCCCCCACTCGGGCTGAATTTCGGGACCTTCCTCTGCCTCTCAACGCATCCCTTGACTCAGCAGATGCTCGCTCAGCACGAAGCCGTGAAGGACTCACAGGAGAGGCCGGCTTCTCTCCACGGTGGGGCTGGCCATCTAGCGAGAGAGGTGGACGAAGCATGGGGGTCCCCGGGCAGGGTGCCCAGAGAGCTGTAGGAACCAGGCGAAGGATGCCTAGCCCTGTGTTCAGGTGGAGTTCCAGAGAAGCTTTTGCTAGAGAAATGCCGTCTGCCCCAGGAATAGACTTGATACTTCTGAAGACGGGATTTCTATGGACGTCTCAGGGTGAGCGGCCGGTGTCAGAAGGGCCTGTTGACAGGTTCTCAAGAGAAACTTCCTGCCTTGGCTTCGAGGGGTCCCTGGCACGCTGCACAGTGGGGTGCCCAGTGTCAGCCTTAAACTTTGCACTGATTTTCAGGGAATGAATAAGTGAATGAAAGAATTACCAGGAACAGAATATTCTCTCTACAGTGGACCAAGGATGTATACAAACCCTAAATACATGAGAGAATTTTGAGCTCTCACTTAATCTTAGCCCTTCCTGGAAAAGCCTTGGTGGAATAGTGGGCTATGTGCTGGGCCTGTTGACTGCAGGGTCAGCAGTTTGAAACCATCAGGAGCACCTCAGGGGGGAAATGAGGGTCCCTATTCCTGCAAAGACTAACAGTCTCGGAAACCCACATGGACCATTCTACTGTATCCTATAGGGCAGTGGTTCTCAATCTTCCTAATGCTACAACCCTTTAGTACGATTCCTTATGTTGGGGTAACCCCCAACCATAAAGTTACTTTCATTGCTACTTCTTAACTGCAATTTTGCTACTGTTATGAATTGCAATGTGTTTTCTGATGACCTTGGGCGACACCTGTGAAAGGGTCGTTTGACCCCCAGTGGGGTCTCGACCCACAGGTTGAGAACCGCTGCCATAAGGTCAGTATGAGTCTGAACTGACTCAATTGCAGTGAGTAAAAAGCCAATCAAAGAACACTCAATTCTTATGACATGGCCCAACTCTATGCCTGCCCTTATGAAGAGATCATTGAAGATATGGGTGCTATAGTAAAATGTGGTGGAAAAAATCACATGGTAGCCAGCTATTAGAAAGAACAGTGTCTGAAGCCTTAAAACAAGCAGCCATGTGTACATATGTAAATATATTTATATGTGAGGATGGGGTAATGGATGTATGTGCATATATTTATAGGTTTTAGTATTAAGGTAACAGATGGACATTGGGCCTCCACTCAAGTACTCCCTCAATGCAAGAATACTTTGTTCTATTAAACTGGCATGCCATGATGCTTACCTTCTGACACAATCACTGAAGACAAAGTGGGTGCATAAGCAAATGTGGTGAAGAAAGCTGATGGAGCCCAGCTATCGAAAGGTATAGTGTCTAGGGTCTTAAAGATTTGAAGGCAAACAAGTGACCATCTAGCTCAGAAGCAACAAA